CCCGGCGCCCTCCAGCGGCCGAGCGCAGAGCCGCCTGGCACAAAGGCCCGGGACGCGCACCCGCACCTGGTGATCCGCGGGGATGGGGGGCCGGGTCCCGCCTCCCTGAAGCCGGTCTCCCGCCCTGGTGCCCCATTTTCCCAGCCGAACGACAGGAACGGAGAGGGGACGCAGTGCCGGGAGCTGGGGCCTGGGCGCGGGGGCCAGGCCGATCGGCCACGCGGTGCGCGGAAGGTGGGCGGGCACCGGGGAGCAGGGACTCGCCCACCGGCGCTGCTGAAGCTGCCCGGCCCAGGGCTTCTCTCCGCACCTCCGGAGCCCCGGTTCTCCCAACCGCCCCTCCCACCCGGCCGCGCCGCCACGGGATTCAGGGGTTGGGGCTGTTCTGGAAAATAAACTATTATCATTTTTTTCCCCAGTGGCCTTCTCTCTGAGCTAACGTCCTCGACCCTTTTTTATTTCGAGACTGGGTCTGCTAAGTAGCTAAGGTGCCCAGGCTGGGCTGGAACTTGTAGTCCTCCTGCCTCAGCTTCCCAGTGTACTGGGACCACAGGACAGGCGTGTACCATCTTGCCTGGCTACTGTAATTTTTAATCTCATTACTCTTGGTGAGTTTGCTTAAAGCAGGACATAATTATAATTTTGTTTTCATTTAAAAAGATCACAGCTTTAAGCTGAGCGTGTGGCATATGCCTGTAACCCTAGTACTCAGGAGGCTGAAGCAGAAGGGTCACTACAAGTTCCAGGCCAGTGTGGGTTACATGGTGAGTTCAAGGCCACCCTGTGTACAACAGCTCCCCTCCCCACAGACACAGAAAAGTGTAATTTAGTTTTAATGCCAGCACCCCCTCTCCCATCGAATGGAAAAACCCTGAAGGATTTGTTGACCTACGAATCCAGTGGGTTCAGATTCACTGGAATCAGGACTGAGCGCTCCCTCTGTCAGAGACCTGGGAAGAAACTGATCCTCAGTCACAGGCCGCATCTACCTAAGGCCACTCCCCACCGCCAAGTCTGAGGAGCCCTGAGTCCAGACAAACAAAATTCAAGTCTGGGGTGGTGGCACACACCTGTAATCCCCACTCTGTGAGGCTGAGGCAGGAAGATCTCAAGTTTGAACTCAGTTTGGGCAATTCAGTGTCTGAGCAAGACCCTGTCACAACATGAATAAAAAAGAGTGGATGGGGGCTGGAAAGTGAGTTCAAGGCCAGCCTGGACTGCAGAGCAAGACCCTGTTTCTTTTCTTTTCTGGTTTTGTTGTCAGTTTTATTGAGACAGGGTCCTGCTCTGTAGTCCAGGTTGGCCTTCAACTCATGGTGATCCTCCTGCCTCAGCCTTGCAAATGGTAGGATTACAGGCATGTGCCACCATACTTGGCTAGGACCCTGTTTCCAAAAAAAAAAAAAAAAAAAAAAAAAAGAATAAAAGTTCAGCTCTTCCATCACACTGGCCACATGTCAAATGCTTAGCAGCCACACATGGTTGTGACTGCAGCCATCAGGGGACAGCACAGGCCTTGGAACGTCTGAATGGAACGTCCAAATTTCACCAGCGAACCCTTGCACAGTGCTGGATTTGTTTGTTTTTTGTTTTTTTTGCAGTACCTGGAATTGAACTCACAACCTCGCAACTTGCCAGGCAGGCGCTGTGCTGCTGAGCTAAATCCCCAGCCCCCCAGTGCTGGATTTGAACACCTGTGCATCGCGAACTTGACCACTCCAGCCCGTGCGCCCTCGTCCCCACGTCCCTCAGGAGGACAGCCAGGCCGTGACACAGTCACACACACAGTGCTCTGCAGCGACTGGCCTGAGCTGCTGACCACACCGTGGTCACTGTGGGGGGGGGGGCAGAGGGGCAGGCGGCCTTGGTCACAGTGCTGCTGTCCCAGTGTTGCCTGTGAAGTCCAGCCGCCCATGCACGTGTCACCTGTCACCTGTGTACACACTGTTTGTCCAGTGTAAGCCGAGTCTGTGGGGTGCTGCACACCCTCGCTGCCGTGCTGCTTTGGCTTGCGGAGCACACAGAACGGTGACGTCCTGCTCACAAGCGTCCGGGGGCAGCCAGGCTTTCCTCACCGCCTCGGCTGGACACTGCGTAGCAACTGGGTTTCTTTGATAGTGAGGACTGAACCCTGAGTTCAGCCCTTTTATTTAGTTTTTGAAGTTTGAGTCAGAGGCTACCTAAGCTGCCTCGGCTGGCCTTAGGCTGGCCTTCGCCTGGCAATCCTCCTGCCTCAGGCTCCCAAGTAGCTAGGACTACAGCCACGTGGTTCCTGCCTGGCAGCAGCTGGATATTAAGAGTGAAATCTGGAATGACTTTCCTCACTTCAGAACAAACAGGGGCAAGAGGTATTTGAAAAGGGGGCACTCACTAGACTTCTGCTTAGTGCCAAGTTTTCCAGCTGAGCCAGAAAAACACTGGCTTCTTGACAAGCATCTTACTTTCTAATTTCCCGAAAGTCTACCTGCTGCAGATTTACGGTAGGTTCTGCTTTAAAAGGGTGGTGCAGCGCCAGGCATACTGCTGCAGTCTGTAATCCCAGCACTCAGGAGGCGGAGGCAAGGAGATTACCACAGGTTCAAAGCCAGCCTGGGTTACAAAGTGAGTTCAACGCCCGCCTGAACCACACAGTGAGACCCTATCTCAAAAAGACAACACAAACAAAAACCCCCAAACCAAAGCAAACCAAAAACAGGTGGTGCAGAGACTTTCAGGAAGACAGTGGAATGGTGAACGGCAAAGAAACAGCTTCTCCAAGATTTGGTGTCGAGATGCCAAAACATAGCAATGTGAGGAAGAGAAATAGGGAAGGGGTCTCTGGAACCCAGCAAGGATCTGAAACAAGAGTTAAAGCCAAGGGGGAGAGCTGAGACCTCAATGCAGAGGAGAGAGGAGGTAAGCAGTGCTTTCTCCCTAAGCTCTGACGCACTGCGTGGGAGGGGCAGATTGAACCTGCATTTGCACAGGGACTACTGGAGGCCCCAGAGGCCCCTGCAGAGAAATGCAGCAGTGGAACGGAGCAGTACACTGCCGTGACTGGTGTTATTTGGATTCAGACGCCCCACAGGGCAGTGTGATTGGCAGGTAGCCATCTTGGAGAGAGGCCCGCTGAGCTGAGAACTAAGAGCAGCTGTGGGCTGGCTCCACCTAGTGGCTCTCAGTGCCAGGGTTTGTGGGAACCAAGTTGAAATTGGCAGGAGGGCAAGGAGCGGAGTTCTAGCTCACAGGAGGCACACGGGAGTGTTGCAGGCTGAACCAACCAGGCAGCAGCCTAACAGCCAGAATCCAGGCTGAACTACACAATGGAACCTGTGTAGCTGAATGGAATTGAAGGTGCAGGCTTGCTGGGATTCTCCACTACCTTGCATACATCTACAGCTGGCTTGCTGGGACTAATCAGCAGACCTGGGCTCTGTCTGCCCACGCTGTCCACCAGTGACAATAGAGAGATGCTTTGAAGTGGACATTGTTTTTTTTTTTTCTTTTTTTTTTGTTTGTGCTTGATACGAGTGTGAACGTTAGTTTCGTTGTTCTGTCCTTGTTTTATTTCCTCCCCTTTCATTCCCTCCTCTTATTCACTAATTTCCCAAAGTTTGAGTCATCTTCCTTCAGCCTTGCTTCTAATTTCTCCCTCTAATTCTATTTCTCTACTTTTTGCCCCTAGTCCCTTTTAAATTTTCTCCCATGAGGGTAAAATCACCATATTGAGGGAATATCTACTGTATACTATTTCTTGGTTCATTTTAGACTTTGTTATCTAACCACAGATATAGTTCATACAGTTAAAGGTGGCAAATTAATAGTTAGCACAGTCTGTCATTTTCTAGGCTGTGTTTGATGTTACTGCTGATTGTATCACTTTACCTAGTGTGACATAACTGTTTTGGTCAGTTGTTTTTCCTGGTATGCCAAGACTGAGACTGCCTGAGGGACATAAACAATACTACAGGCCAAATGCCAAAGAAACAGGGGCTGAGAGGCAGCAACTTTTCATCTCCAATAAACTGAAGAGGTAGGAACTTGCAACAGACTCAAAACCTAAAAACCAGTTATACCTGGAAGATACCTCAGAGAAGTAGTCATTTCCTAACGGCTCTAAATACTAGCAATAAAGCAACCCACCAATGGCAATTTACAAACATCACCCCAGGAATTAAATTAGAAAAAGAAAAGAAAATGAGAAAACATTTAAACAAGATGCAAGTCCAGACATCCAGTTCACCAAAGGCAAATCCAGGGTGCAATGAGATGGGACGATCCCAAAGCCACCCACTGGTTCTCTCTAAAGGGGTGACAACAAAGCAATTGAATGAGGCTCTGGAAAAAAAAAAAATAAAACCAGAAATAACTTCTCATAACTGCAGAGGTGGCATCCACAATGAAAGCCATGGTTAGTGACTCTAGTGCAGATACAGACAAAAAAAATAGAGGAGCTTAAAAAGATTATGGAAGCCATGAATGCTCAGTATAGGAAAGAAATGGAATCCATAGGCAGACTCAAGCAGACATCTAGGAGAATAAAAATTCCACTGAAAGTATCTACAGATTAAGCCAATGTGAGGACAAGATCTCAGATATAGAAGACAGTTTTGCAGTTATCAATCATGAAAAGAAAAAGTCCTTAAAAATGGCAAGAGACCATGAGAAGTCAATCCTGCAGCTGCTAGATGAGGCAAGGAAGAATAACTTACGATTGATTGGAGTCAATGAAAAAGCAAGATAAAGCACAAGTGATATAAAAATACTGCTTGCAGACGTTATGGCAGAAAACTTTCCTGGTAGGGAAAAAGAATTTGATATACACATAAATGAGGCATAGAATTCCAATTAGCAACAACAACAAAAAAAAACTACCGCCAGGCATGTCATAATCAAGATTCCAGAAATTCAACACAAGAATAGCCTCTTAAAAGCTGTTAGGGGCCAGCTGTGATGGCACACACTTGTAATCTCAGCACTTAGGAGACTGAGGCAGAAGGACTGTTGTGAGTTCCAGACCAGCCTGGGCTATAAAGTGAGCTCAAGGCCAGCCTGCACTGCATAGTGAGACCATATCTCAAAAAGGTGGGAAAAAAAAAAAAGCTGTTAGGGAAAAGAAACAAATCACCTATAAAGGAAAACTCATCAGAATCACAGCTGACTTCTCAGCATAAACCTTCAAGTCAGGAACAGCACAGAGTGAAGTATTGGAAGTTCTAAAGGAAAACAACCTTCAACCCAAATTGATATATCAAAACTATCTTTCAAAACTGATGGAGAAACAAGATACTTCCATGACAAAAAACATCTGAGGAAATTTATGACCACACCAGCACTCCAAATGATTTGAAGAATACTGCTGAAAGAAATAACAAGGACTATAACTCCATGAACCTCAAAAGAAGGAATCTACCAGACGAGCAATCCATTAAAAAGAGGGAGAGAAAAGAGAGGGGGGAGCTAACCATAAGAAAATAACATGATAAGGAAGTCAACACATATCAGTTATAACCATCAATGTTAATGGTCTCAATTCACCAATCAAAAGACACAGATTGGCAGAATGGATTGAGAAACAAGATCCAACAATCTGCTGCATACAAGAAACACATTTAATTAAAAAAGAAATTGACTGACTGAAAGTCAAAGGATGGAAAACAATACTTTAGAGGTAGGTATTTTATTTGTGGATGAAGTGAATTTCAAGCTAAGAATGAGTAAGAGAACCTCTCACTGGTCAGCGCTCACACCACTACATCCTTGTAAAGTGAACAATCCAAGAGGAAGATGTAATGATTCATAAATATATATGCAACGAATACCAGTGTACCCAATTTTATAAAACTAAGTATTAGTGGACATGAAAAATCAAATAAGCACTAATACAACTGTATTGGGGGATCTCAATCTCCCACTGTCACAAAAAGACAAACTAGACAAAAAATAAACAATGAAATATTAGATCTGAACCAAACTTTTGAACAAATGGACTTAGTAGATCTGTAGAGTATTCCACCCCACAATATCAGAACACACATTCTTCTGAGCTGCACATGGGATATTCTCCAAAATAGATCACATATTAGTTCATAGAACACACTTCAGTAAATGCAAAGGAAGTGAAATTACCCCATGCATATTATCAGACCATAGTGCAATGAAATTGGAAATCAATGGTAAAAGAAACCACAAGAACTTCATAAATACAAGGAAATTAAATAGCACCCTCCTGAACAACCAATGGGTCACAGATGCAATTAAAGAAGAAATTAGTTTCTACAATTAAATGATAACAACAATATAATATACTGGAACTTATGGGATACAATGACCCTAGAAAGAATGGCTATTATGAAGAAATCAACCAATAACAAATGCTGGTGGGGCTGTGGGGAAAAAGGAATGCTTCTCCACTGTTGGTGAGAGTATAGGCTGGTGCAACCACTGTGGAAATCAGTGTGGAGGTTCCTCAAAGAACTAAAGGTTCCATTTGACCCAGCTATTCCTCTTCTTGGTATCTTGCTGAAAGAATTAAAAGCATCATACAAAAGTGATGTATGCACACCCATGTTTACAGTGGCAGTTTGTAATAGCTAAATCTTGGAAAGAGCTCAAATGCCCATGAACCAATGAGTGGATTTAAAAAATGTGGTTTTTTATGCAATGGAGTACTGCTCTGCCACAAAGGATAATCTTGTGACATTTCTAGGTAAATGGATGCACCTTGAGACCATATTCTTATGTGAAATAAATTGGACACACGTATGTAAATATTGCCTGGTTTCTCTGATGTGAGAAACCAAAAGTGTAAATACAGACCAAAATGTGTAATGGATACTGGGAAATGAGAAGAAAATGTTCAAATGAGAACAAGGGAATTGGAAGGGGAGGAAGACAGGGACAAGAAAAACAATAGGTAAAAAATGAGAACAAAGCTTTTATAAATAAGCAGGGGAAAAGGGGTTGAAAAGCCGGGCAGAGAACAGGGAAAGAAAAGAAGAATCAAGACACATCGTGTACAGGTACAAATTCCCTATGATCAATGTGATCATTACATTATCTAAAACGTGCCAATTAAAAAAAATAGCCGGGTGTGATGGCATGTGACTATAAACCCAGCTCTCATGAAGCTGACACGGGAGGGTTGCCATGAGATCGAGGCCAGCCTGGGCTACACAGGAAGTCCACAAGGGGCTCTTAGTCGGCCACAGGGCCACCTCCTCAAGGGTCTTTTAGGAATAGGTGACACACAGAGGTGCAGGTGTCAGTGGCCAGCACCACTGTTATCTGTGCTCCACCGGCCAGGAATACCTAGAATGGGGGACTGACAGGTAGAGCAAACAGTCACCTGTTAGTACGTAACAACTCGAACAAGGCTCATCCACTGTGCAAAACTCCTTAGCTTTACTGTTCAGGAAACATCTGGAACCCTTCTAGCTGCCCCATGGCCCCACAGGACCTGGCCCTTGCTTACTTCTGCCCTCCAGTACATGATCCTGTGCCGCTATCGTCACTTTGTGAACTGCTCTTCCTTTTTTCTGCTCCTTTTCTTGCTAGTCTATGTAGTCCAGGCTGGCCTTGCGCTATGTACCCCAGGGTGACTTTGAATTCATGGCAATCCTCCTGCCTCAGCCTCCCCAGTGCTGGGATTAGAGGTGTGCCTCCACACGCAGCTCCACTGCTCTTCCCGTCACTAGGAGGCTGTTGAATAAATATCTGTTACCTGAATAAACATATCTTTTAATGCCCAAGATGTAATATTTTTCCTGGCACAACATGTCCTAAACACAGCTGCCCGCCACTTACTGGCAGTGATGGGAACGGCTTTGCCATGCGGTGGTTGTCAGAGCACAGCGCACAGCTTAGAACAGCCACTGTTGGCCAGTATAGTGGCACATGCCTGTAATCCCAGCACTCGGGAGGCTGAGGCAGGAGGATCATTGTGAGCTTGAGACCAGCCTGGGCTACAAAGTGATCTCAAGGTCAGCCTGAACTGCACAGCACAGCTAGACTGTCTCAAAAAGACCAAAACAGAAAAGCCACTATGGCTGCAGTTGATGACCACTCACGAAGCCCTGTCTGCACAAAAGAGGCCCCTTGTGATGGTGCCATCCTGTGGTGCCTAGCTTTGTAATCCAGCCAGCAAGAGGAAGTGCTCATGGCTCCACAGGACTCAGTGCCTCTTCTCAGATTCTGCCAACTCAGATTCTCACAGTGGGGAAAAGCATCTCCACTTTTGATTAAGCCCAGAGCTGGGGGACTAACGAGGTGCAGAGAAGGCTACAAATGTCCAGGAGCAGGGGCAGGGAGAGCTGCACATCCCAGGCCACCTGTGATGGGGGGAGCCAGGAACGGCAGCCGGGCCCAGGTGCCAGAAATGAACGCTCTTGCCACTCTGCTGTGGTGCTGACGGCTTCCAGATGGAAGCTTCAGCTCCCCAGGGACTGAGAACAACTTGCAGCCAGTGGCCCCTGGTGAATCCGGCTGTGCAGAGGCAGGGCCTGCTAATCTAAACCACATCCTCAACAGAAGTCCCTCAACCCCAGAAGAGCTTTAGCAAAGAAGACTGAGGCGGGATATGGACTGTCCAGTCGGCACTCACCTACTCACACCAAGAGAGACAGCTCAGTGGCACTTTAATTTTAATCTCTTCAAACTCTCCTGATTCACAAACCAGTGTGCACAGTGCACCTGCACAAGTCACACACCCACCCCTCATCCCGAGCTCCGCCCTCCACAGGAGCTGGCTCCAGGCTCCCTGACTACTCTGGTCAGAGCTGGCGTCCCTGCAGCCCCATCCTGGTGCCCAGCCTGCGGGTGTGGCTGTGCTCCCCAAGGGCAGGCTGGCAGGTGCCTGCCCTGGGAGAGTCCTCGGCACAAGTAGCCACTTGTCCACCTGTACCATGCAGGCACCCTCTCTGTTGCTCCTGGCGGGGTCACATGTCCAGGTGCTTGTAGAGTCTGCGGCTTTTCTCCTTTTTGTTCCTGTTGCCATGTTTCTTCCAGGGCTTCCCTGCCATGTTCTCGGAGCTCACTGTGGTTGAAGTCACCCGGCCGCTGCCGGGCTGGTAACCCATCACGGCCTGGACCCCTCTGGTCAGCGCTCTCACGTTTTCCTGGAAAGCAGAGGAACCGTGGTGAGAGGGCAGCAGTGGGGTCTCCCTGAGGCACCCAACCTAGAAACTAAGGAAACTGTTTACTTAGTAAAAACTTAATCCATGTATCTGTTTTTTTCCGGTACCGGGAATCGAACTCAAGACCTCGTGTGTGCCAGGCAGGTGCTGTGCCACTGAGCTAAATCCCCAGTCCCGTAAAAACTTAATCCAATAGGATGGTAAGTGTAAAGCAACATCCCACCTTTGTATAACGGTAAAGTGCTCCAGAGGCTACAGGTTACATGTGAATTGTAATGAATGGGAAGCTGTTGGCTTTCACATACGTGGCCTTTGGAGAAGCGCTAAAGGATTCAAATTAAATGACCTGCACATCGGCTGCAGGCCTGAGAAAGAACCTGTAGTCCTTCTGCATACTGGATTCTTTCCCAATACTGGCACCACCGGGAATAATTCAAAAAAAGCCACAAATATCTAAGCTCATCTCAACTAAGCCAAGTAAAACAGGTGGTCTTGGCTAAGTCAAGTGTCCTTGAGGACGTCTGTGTCCTTGAGCCGCAGCCCCCGAGTGTGAAGTGGGGGTGGTAATGTCTGCTCATCTGCACACAGGCTCCATGCACAAGGCACACAGATACCGCAAAGAGAACCAGCACCCAGCCACTCCCTAGACAGGGCCGACTCTTACTCTTAGTACGACAATCTTTTTTTCTTTTTCATATGGCAATCATTTAAAAGCATTACTACTACTACTTTGCAGTACTCGGGATCAAACCCAGGGGCTCCTGCGTGCTACTTTACCACTTACCTACACCCACAGCCCGCTGAAAAGCATTTTTGAAGCATGTGAAGTACAATTCTGTGATTTCTGTTTGTTTTTTAATGCTGTGATTTAACTCTTGTGTACACAAATTTGTCTTTTGCAATGCTACCTCTGAACTCCAGCTGTCATGTAAGTAACTCAGCTTGTTAATACTGTAAGGTGCAAGAGACTTGCATGAAGCCTGTCTTTCTAATCATAAACCTGATGAGACCATGAATCCAAGGTATATAAAATTTCCTGGAACTCAACAACAATCAATATTTAGCCAGGCGTGGTGATACAGGCCTTCGATCCCATCCTGGACTACACAGCAAAACCCTGCTTTAGAAAAACAAAAAAAGAGGTGACACTGGAAGACACTGGCTCCAAGGAAAACACCTATGTACCTATGAGCACCTGGAAGAGGATCAGTGAAACAGAAATCAAAACCACGAGGCACCACTTCACACACATCTGGACGGCTGAAGGGAAAAAGTAGAAGAGTAGAAAGCACCGACAGCGTGTGCAGAGACCCGGAAGCTCCCGCACTGCTGGTGGGGATATTACCGGCGCAGCCCCGGCGGCTCCCCAGTGACCTCATACACAGAAGCCCCAGGGCTGGGCACACACGAGGAGGAACACACGCGATGGAAAAGCTCCACACAATCGCTCCCAGCAACGTCATTCCCAACAGCCAAAGAAGTCACGACCACCCCAACGTCCACCAACAGCTACGTGGACGAGCAAACCACAGTCCACCCACACAGAGGATTATGTGGAATGAAAAGGTCTGAGTGCGGCCACATGCCAATGCACGCTGACCCTGAGGACAAACGCCAAGGGAGAGGAGTCGAGAAGAGCACAGCGTCTGACCCTGTCCTCGGAGATGTCCAGGACAGGCAGAGCTGTACAGAGTGGACCGGGGCTGGCAGCAGCTCGACGGAGCGGAGCAGGCCGAGACTGCTAACAGTACAGTCTGAGGTTCCTTTTTGGAATGTTTCTCTTTTGGTCTTTTTGGGTTTTTTTGTCTTTTTGAGACAGAGTCTCGCTATACAGTTCAGGCAGGGCTTGGGCTCACTTTGTAGCCCAGGCTGGCCTTGAACTTGCAACAGTCTTCCTGCCTCAGCCTCCCTTGAGTGCTGGGATTACAGGTGTGTGCCACCATGTCTGACCTTTTTTTGGTCTTTTTGAGATAGGGTTTCACTATGTAGTTCAGGCTGGCCTTGAACTCCCAGCAATCCTCCTGCCTCAGCCTTCTGAGTGCTGGGATTACAGGCATGTGCCACCATGCCTGGCCTTAGGGTGTTTCTAAAAGGGACTGTACAACTCTGAAACATCATAAACTACTGGATTTTACACTTTATTTATTTTTTGTTTTTGCTTTTTGTCTTTTTGAGACAGGTTCTCACTATGCAGTTCAGGCTGGCCCTGAGTTCACTTTGTAGTCCAGGCTGGCCTTGAACTCACAATGATCCTCCTGCCTCAGCCTTCCGAGCGCTGGGATTACAAGCGTGCACCACTACGCCCAGCTGGATTTTACACTTTAAATGGTGTGGGTGAACTTCAGTTTTGTTTATGGTATGTGAACACCTCACTCTTTACTGTTAGAAAGAATGTGTTGGATCAGAAGTTAAAGAAAAACTTACAACTTACTTGATGGAAAAATGTTTTGTCAACTACATTTTCAATCTGTTTCTCTTTTTTGGTTCTGCTCGGCCGCATTATTTCAGCACTGTTCATGTTGTTCTCCAGGGTTCGCCGGTGCTGATACTGAAACATCACAGGGTCTATGCCAGGAGGAGGGTGGCAGTGCAGCAGTTTACCCTGCGGAGACAACAGGTGATAGTGATGACAGCGCATCACAGTACCAATGGGTTACTAAGAGGAGACAGCGAGCAGGTCGCATCCTCATGGGGCTTTCGGAGGGTGGGCCCAGCTGGGCTGACTTCCGGTGGCCTCACTCTCCACAGCCAGGCTCCCTTCCACGTTCGGGGACCTCACTGTCCCACAGCTTCACACCAGAGTGGGTTATTCTCCGCGCAGAACGTCAGCCTTGAGTATTACTGTAATCGGGGAAGTACAGGGAAAGGTGCGTGGACAGCGACACCACGAGGAAGACGGGTGCAACGGAAACAGGGAAAGGGAGACGGAAAACTGGAAGCAAGAACCAGCATTTCTCAGTGGTGACAGTGTTCAAGCAGCTTCACCGTTCCTGTCAAAATACGTCGTCAGCCCCTTGTGAAATTCCGTGCGGCTAACTCCCCTCGAGGGAGACTACAACCCCACTGTGGCTCCACCCCAACGAGGAGCGACCCCAGAACCTACAGCTCGGCAACGTAGCTGTGAAGGCAGCGTGCGGGCAGAGAAGACTCATTTCCTCAGGGCTGACACAGAGCAGGACGCACTCACCCTAACGTAGTCCTTCAGGATGTAGCGCGCAGAGCGGGGCTCGTCGGGCTGGCCGTGCGCCGTCATGAATCCTCGCATGGCTGCGGGAGAAACGAATTGTGCAAAACCCGAGCTGGCAGACAGCATCACACCGCGCGCACACCTGAGGCGGTGCACACTTGGCCCTTTCCACGGATGCACTAATTATGGGTGTTTACTTCTGTTTTTTAAAATGTTAACTCATTACCATTGTAGAATATCTGTTGTTTAGGGTTAAAGCGCGCTAACACAGAACAGACTGTACAGTTGTACCTGACATCTTAAAATCCACCCAGCACCACACTGTGAAAGACACGCAATGTCTCAATGTTCTTGTACTCCTGAACTGATTCATAGCGGCTACCCTAGAATATTACAGCAAAAAACCCAAATGCTGTAGAATGAGTTTTTTTTTTTTTTTTAAGCAGTGTATGGGATTGAATCCTAGGGCGCTCTACCACCAAGCTATATCCTTAACCCTTTTTAGTTTTTACTTAGAAACAAAATCTGACTAAGTTGCCCAGGCTGTGTCAAACTTGTGATCTTCCAGCCTCGGTCCCCTCAATAGCGGGGAACGCAGGCATGAGCTGCCATGCCTGCAAACAGGCTTTTTTTTTAGTGCTATCCTTGTATTTTTTTTTTTTTTCCAGTCTCCCAAACAGACCATAAAGATCACTTTAATATTAACTCAGTTAGTAGATAGTGGCAGAACACAGGGGTTAAGAATATGGGCTTTCACAGACAGGTGGGACTCAAAACTTAGCCCCCTTCTGTGTGCAGCCCTTTTCATTTTGGAAGAAAACATTTAAAATCCTAATTTACATCATATATAAAAATAAATTTAGGTAGATTACAAAATCTCAAACAACAAGTATTACAGGAAAAGTTTTGTCCTTTGGATATAGGGAAGGCCCCTTCAAGTAAAACACCAAACCCAGTCGAGCCCAAAAGAAAAAAAAAAAGTCTATTAAAAACATCAACTTGCTGGGCGTGGTGGCGCACACCTGTAATCCTAGCACTCAGGAGGCTGAGGCAGGAGGATCATTGCACGTTTGAGACCAGCCTGGGCTACAAAGTGAGCTCAAGGCCAGCCTGAACTGCATAGTGAGACCCTGTCTCAAAAAGACCAAAAAAAAAAAAAAAAAGAACGTCAACTTCTACAGGGCTAAAGAAACCATAAACAAACATTAGGAAAAACAGGCACAGCATGCAGAAGGAAGAACTCATGCACAGAAAAGGCAATCCCAAAGGAAATGCAGAAAACCAATGAACAAATGCAAATGTGCCCAGCTTCACTAGTACTTAGAAGAAATACAAAGTAAAACTAGAGCCATTTGTTTTAACATCTACTGCCAGAGACCCCACTGTGAACAGACCCGTAGACAGTAGCCTCAGAAAGGGTACATGTATGGTAGGTTTTACAAAGTGGCTCTCCCTTTTACCGATTTTACCAGGTTGCACTGGATGAAAAATAGTATTTAGGTTATTATTAAAAAGGTCCACTGTAGAAATCAGCATGGAGATTTCTCAAAAACTAGGACTAGAGGTTCCATTTGACCCAGCAAATCCCTTCCTTGGTATCTTCCCAAAAGAATTAAAAGCATCACATCACAGCAATATATTCATACCCGTGTTTATAGTGGCACAGTTTGTAATAGCCAAATCTTGGGAACAACCCAAATGCCCATCAACTGATGAATGGACAAAGATGTGGTTTTTCTATACAACAGAGTACTACTCTGCCATAAAGAAGGATATGCTGAAGACATTTCTAGGAAAATGGGTGCACCTTGAGACCATATATATATATATATTTTTTGGTCTTTTTGAGACAGGGTCTCACTGTGCAGTTCAGGCTGGCCTTGCGCTCACTTTGTAGCCCAGGCTGGTCTCAAACTCCAACAATCCTCTTGCCTCAGCCTCCTGAGTGCTGGGATTATTGGTGTGCACCACCATGCCTGGTGAGACCATATTCTTAAGTGAAATAAATCAGACACATATGTGTAAATACTGAATTATTTCTCTGGCCTGAGAAACCAAAGGTGTAAATAAGGACCAAAATGTATAACAGGTATTGTGAAATAGAAGGAAAATATTCAAGTGGGTACGGGAACAAGGGAGAGGGGAGGGGAAAAGGAAAGAAGGGAAAAGTTAAAAAAAGAGAGAGAGAAAAGGAAAATATGCTAACAAAACTTTTTGTAAATAGGGAGGGGAGGAGGGGTTGAAATAGGGAGGAAGAGGAGGGTAGGAAAATGGGGGAAAAAACTCCAAATGATACCATGTACAGGTATAAATTATTATGAAAGTGATCATTATGTATATCTAAAATGTACAAATAAAATCTAATTAAAAAAATAAAGGAGCTGGAGGTGTGGCTCAGGGGTAAAGCACATACTTACCCTGGATCAATTCTCAGAACCCTCTTGCCACAATTCAATTCACTATTTCTATTAACTATACTGTTCTTTTTTTGTTTGTGTTTTAAAATAAACAACTCACATCCATATGCCGTCAATAATTCTTCTGCGGTTGGAGGCCGGTGAGGATCTTCGTCTTCCCTGGGCTTTGTGAGGCTGATACCGTAGGTGGCTTCCAGGACGCGCCGGGGAATGTTCTGGCAAACGTGACCTGGTCAAGGTCGCACTGTCTGCAGCTGACCCATCCCTACGCACCGAATCAACACTCGCTCTCCTCCCCAGACAGGCTAGTTACTCGTTCATGGGAACCATCAGTTTCTTTTCCCTTTAAACTAAATTTTATCAATGGTCACTTCCAAATGAATTTTGTAAGTTCTCTTTCCCTTGTGAAGCAATGTTATGAATAAACTATGGATCTGTGAGATAACCAACGTAAGACATGGAACACAGGCGTCTTTGTTTCTAATGCCTAGGACTATGCAAGATGATGTTCCCTCTTGTCTCATCTCCCAGTTTACCTGTGCTTTCCTAAGCCACTCATGTTACCTGCCTTGCCCCATTACCCATGAGTGTCCCATGTCCCCTGGGCTGACACTGCCAGAGACAGGGCCCACTTGAGTTACGCCTGCATCCTCCACGGCACCTCACTGCCTGACAGTGAGCGCCTAGCACATGCCTGATGGCTGACTTACACAAAAAGCACAGATAACTTGTGTTCCCAAATTTAGCTGGGCAAGGTGGTGGCTGCCTATAATTCCAGCACTCGGGAGGCTGAGAAAGGAAGATTGCTGTGAGCTCTAGGCCAGCCTGAACATAATGAGACCATCTCAAAAATGCAAAACAAACAAACAAAAAATCCAAGAAAAAGAAAAAGAAAAAAACAGAGACAAAGAAAAGAAATTTAAACTTTTGGTAGGTGTGGTAGCATACACCTGTAATCCCAGTATTCTGTGAGGCTGAGGCAGGACTTCAAGTTGGAGTTCAGCCTGGGTAACTTAGCGATTTATTTATTTTGGTCTTTTTGAGACATGGTCTCCCTATGCAGTTCAGGCTGGCCTTGAGCTCACTTTGTAGCCCAGGCTAGTCTCAAATTTGCAATGATCCTCTTGCCTCAGCCTCCATAGTGCTGAGATTACAGGCATGTGCCACTATGCCCGGCTCAACTTCGTGATTTAGACATCTCATAATAAAAAACAAAAAGGGCTAGGGATATAGAAGCAGTGCATTCTTTTCAACAATTGCTTCATATCCCATTTTAATGATATATCATTTTATTTTTTTAGCCTGTATGAATCAATTCTTATACATTTTTAAAAAGGATTAATACTGTGTATGGAACCCAGGGCCTTTGCACTGAGCTATGTACCACCCCCCACCCCTTTTGATTTTTATTTTGAGACAGGGTCTTAAGTTCCCTAGGAAGGTCTTGAACTTATCCTCCTACCTCAGCCTCCCAAAGTGCTATAATTGCAAACAAGTGGCACCACGCCCAGCTTTACTCATTATTTCTTACAGAAAAAAAAGAACACTGGGGTTAAGGGATTTGCTAAGAACTGAGCAGGGAATGGAATTTTATACCCTCCTCACAAGCTAATAAGCTACAGTGCCGCCGTTTCACGAGTCCATCATTCATGGGCACCCACAGAACAAAAGAGACCGGGCTGCTGGCTGTTAGGCAGGGGCCCTTGGGGACCCTGCACAAATGTACCGCGAATACCCTGTGCAGCCGGGGCAGCACACAGCATCCTCTAGGTGGTGCACAAAGCAGGCTCACTCAGCACTGAGGCGGCAGAGCTCCTAGCTGTGGGCCTTAGGCAAACTATTTCAGTGTTACCTAGTGTCAAAAACATTCACAGCAAGTGGCCAATTAATGTTAGCTACAATGATTAATAGTCACCACACTTGCGAGGCAAGTAGTGCCTGTTTCAGAAAACAGGGGAAATGTCAGACAAGCAAGCACACCCCCCAAGGTCCTTCCGTCAAGTGGCGGGGTGAGCTGGGTGTGCAGCCCGGCCTCTGTCCACACTGACTCCAGAGCTGGGTTCTACCTTGGAAGTCCTGGGCCAGCTCACTGGGAAACCTGTGCAGGTTGCCAGTACTCTAGATCCTCTCACTTATGGGGTCAGACCTGAGTTCTCCACATGACACTGGACGGCACTGCTCCAAACCTCTGAAGCTCTCACGGCCCAGGACCCCAGGAAGGATATGAGTGACACGGGCGGGACGTGGTCTCGCATCTGGTCAATGGGCAGGATTCCACTGCACGTCATCTCTGCCTTGGTGGACACGAAGGACGGCATCACCAGGCCGGGGCAGTCACACAGGCAGAGGCCAGGCTCCACGTAGAGGGTCTGCAAGGGAAGGAAGGCGCTTGTGCTGGGTGCCTGGCCCCAGAGCAAAGCGGAGCAGTGGGGGGTGAGGCCCGCAGGGCTACCTGGAAATGCTTGGTGTGGCCAGGCGTGGCAGACACCGACACTTTCTTGTTGCCTAGGATGGTGTTGATGGTGGAACTCTTGCCAACGTTAGGGTAGCCCACCTAGAAGAGATGTGGGAGTCACAGCAGTCCCAGCAGTGTCCAGGGGCCCGGAGACAGTGCAAACCACAAGGCCAGCACATGCACTAGGGCTGTGCACCTTTCTTTGCTCTTGTGCATTTATCCAGGCCCATTTCCAGGGACAAATGGTTGATCTGCATGCTTCACAGGCTTTGCTATCCTACACGCAACTTTCCCTGCCTCACGGCACCTTCCAACCGGGAACGGGGTGAGCAGGGCGCAGGCGGACACGAATGACCGCCACAGTCCACTCATTTACAACTCGCGGGCCTGGCGTGCAGCAGGCCTGGCAGCTGTCTGGAGAATGAGTAAATGAGTCAGCCCCCCAGATTCCCACAGTAGGCACTCAGAAAGGGAGGGAGCCGCTCACTGCTGCCATGAATCTGTAGCGAAGCTGGGCTTTGCAGTGCACGTGAACACTGCAGCAACAGCAAAGAGGAGAAAGCCATAAAGCTGAGGGAAATGTGGTGCTTTCTCAATGCGCACCTAACAGGTAAGCCCTACTGCAGGATGGGGACTCATGCCCCACACGCCTGACTCCAGAGGCAGCTGCTACTGCACAAACACAAGGTGCAGCTTCCCCAGTCATTCAGAGGTGGCGGCTCAAGAACAACCGGCACACCATGGGTGACAGTGCACACCTGTAATCCCAGCACTCGGGAGGCTGAGGCAGGAGGCTCACCTTGAGTTTGAGAGCCGCCTGGGATACATAGTTCAAGGCCAGGTTGGACTGCATAGCGAGACCTTGTTTCAAAAAAAAGAATACCCAGCACGGATGAGCTGGACATGGGAAGAACTGAAGAGCAGGGAGTGTCTGCCCGGTGCGAGCCCGTCTCCGCTGCTCTCCTGAAGGAGACTCTACTGCCCGGTCTCGGACATCTCACACTTCCTTCGCTAAGCACAGGGGCACCTGGAGCCGTGGTGTGCCCTTGGGGAGTGGGCACCTCCACCACCACTTGTGGAGTGCAGGGTGCACGAGTGGGGAGGCGACCTCTTTTCCCGTTTATTGTGTCTCGCGTGTCTATGCAGCGAAGCGCCTGTCCCATTCGCTGGCCACAGCGCTGGGACTCTCCTGCTGGGCTTGTGGCATGTTCAGTCAGTCGGCAGGAGCATAGGCTGCTCACAGGAAGCTCTCACCCCACCTTGCTCTCCCGGGAACTCGCACGGCCCAGGGCTGAACTGAGGGAGGAGCTGGCAAGCAGGCTCAGGAAAGGGGTGGGACCGCACAGCCCTGAGCCGGGCTCCGCAGGCGCAGCCTCACCCCGAAGCCACGGCAACAAGAAGGCTGCACGTTCCTTAGGACAGCTGCCTGATTCTAGGGGCTCCTGTGCGGCTGCCAAAGGCAGGAGTGCTGACCCTCACTCGTGCAGCTGCTCTTACCAGGCCCACAGTGAGCTGCGCGGCCTTCACTCTCCGCCCCGTGTGCAGCTGCTTGAAGAGCTCCAGCAGCTCCTGCTTGGACACCAGGCGGCTGAGGTTTCGAGGCTGCCTCCTCCGCAGGGCTTCCCCACCCGCAGCCCCTGGGTCTGCCGGACTCTCCCTCCAGTCATGGTGGCACGCTTCCTCGCATGCTTCCTCCTCAGCGTCACTGCCTTCCTCAGAGCATGTGCGCCAGTCCTCCTCCTCCTCCTCCTCGTCCTCCCGGCAGTCCTCGTACTCGCTGTCGTCCTCGCTAGCAGCCTCACTGCAAGGGGGAGGGCCTGGCTGGCCGGGGGAAGCTGCATCCTCCTCGGAGCAGGAGTCTTCAGACTCTGCTGTGCTGGCTTCTCCAGCGTCACTGGTCCCTGGTTCCTGATGAAGTGAAAGAAACCAAAATCTCCCAAATTTGCAACTGCACTTTTCACACGATACTCAATGAGCTGGTTATGTAAGATGAACAGAGGCAAGGAGAGCCGCCTGGGGCCCGGGAAAGGCCAACACATGCAGCAGGTGGCAAAGCCTTCTGTGCTGGGCTGCACGCAAGAGTCGCAGGTCTTCAGCTATTTCAGATCTTCTGAACTTTATAGGGAATCACACAAACTGCTTTCCTCATTTAAAATGAATCTCAAAGCAAGGTGAAGTGTGACGTTCACTCTTTGGCAATATACTATTTTGCAATGGGCAGTACAGTAAAACAAAGTTTTTCCCATTTACAACAAAACACTTTAACATTCTCTGCACAAAACAAGGGCATAATTTGTCACGTAAGAGCCATTTTACATGTTTTGACGTGTTTAAGGAAATTGCTGCTCCCTGATTTGTGTGTGGCTGGGGATGGAACCCAGGGCTTTTTGTGAGCCAGCAAACAGTCTACCACTGAGCTACACCCCAGCCCAGCTATTCTCCTATCATGCCTTTAGTAAGTCAAAAAGCTCCATGACGCACAGACACAAGCAGCAAAATTCCACCCCAGGGTGAACTAGTTGGGATTTGAAAGGAAGACAGATCTTGTATCATTTCTAAATCACTGGGGGCTGGGTATTTAGCTCAGCGGCACAGCGCCTGCCTGGTAAGCGCCAGGTTGTGAGTTCGATTCCTGGTACTGGAAAAACAAAAAACGAAACAAAAACAAACAAACAAAACAAAAGAAAACAAAAAAAATCATTTAGGGTTACAGCGGTTAACAGTGACAAAAGGGGCACAGTGAACCTGTCCTATAGGCATCCTAAACATTAGGAAAGAAGAGATAAAAACAAAACACCAGGATTTCATCGTCACATCTGGCAATTTAAAAAGAAGCCTGGCTTACAAGAGAGCCATAAAATTGAAGGAATTTTCATGATGAATGAGCAATGAATGTGAAGAAGTCAGTGTGTGCTCATTGTAAACTTTTCCAAATCATTTTAAAAATCAAAGTTTTAAAAGAAGGAAAATATGGAAACAAAGCTTTTGTAAATAATGAGAGAAAGAGGGATTCAAGGGAGGGGAGGGGAATGGGGGAAAAAAAAGAAGTTATATCATGTACAGAGACAAATTCCCTATAACGAATGTGATCATTATATATACCTAAAATGTACCAATAAACTTAATTAAAAAAAAAAAAAAAGTCTTTTTAAAAAATATTTGCGCGATTTGGTGGCTCATAGGGTCACAGTGCCTGCAGCATCCCAGAGCTCTGAATGGGGATAAATGCACAGAACTAAGAACCAAGGGGGACAGTGATCACGGGAAGGCAGGGTCTCAACACCCACACAATGCACTCAGGTCGCCAGCGCTCAGGACGAGGCCCGAGTCACGCTCTGAGGGATCTGACAGCAGAAGATGTGGAGTCTGTCAAGAGGAAACCAAGGATGTGAAGTCATGTCCTCAGGGGACAGACCAGGGGCAATGACTTTCTGACCCCAGAGAGAAAAACAACTGACTTGTCCGGGCCACTGAAGCTTATCCAGTGAGATGCCAGGCCTAGCAGGGAGGGGACGGAGGGGACACAGCGACCTGCACACAGTGGAGCTCAAGGTGGCTGGCTTGAGCTCACCCCGGAAGGGCCAGACTCATGGGCGGCAGCCAGCTCAGCTCCCTCCAGACCTCAGACATTGATAAATGGAGAGAAAAGGGAAGCAGGGCAGGGGAAAAGCGGTACCAGACGTAGAGTTCTATTACTAATTTTTTTTCATACTTATATTATTGGAAAATAAAATAAGCCCCAAGTTGTTTTGGTAAAATTTGGGTTAAAGGGAAATAACATGGCGTATCTTAATTTAGGGGTGCTTAGTTTCTTTGTTTTCAAAACAAAGTCAAGAGATTTGGATCAAGCCCTGAGAAGTCATTACATCCTTCAGTTGTACCCTTTTGTTCTAACTTCTCTTAAAAGCAATTACAAGGTCATTATGAAACTTCCTAGAAAACTTCCTGCCTAAAATTAAAAAAAAAAAAAAAAAAAATTAATGCATCAGAGCCCAACACTAGGGATGTCAGACTGTTTGAAAACCACAAAGAACATAACTTTGTAACTGACCTTTCAGAGCATTTATGGAAAAAAACCAAAAAAGCAAACCTAGTAAATCACTTCCAAGAAAAAAAACAACACAAAAGAAACACGTTAATGTACACAAAACCCTCCCTCAAGATCACCCTGCCAAGGTCCCTGAGGTTACCTTAGAAGCCCCATTCAGCTGGGCGGTTCCGGCCAGAGCTGACCAGAAAATAACCTGCACGCCTTCCTTTTCAAAGTATGCAGCCCAGGCGCCACGCTGTTCAGCCGTCAGAAGGTCCGCCTTGTTAATCAGGATGACGTTCTCTTTACTGGGATCGATCTCTTTCACGTAACATTCCTGAAAGACAGAAAGGCCTTGCACACCAGGAAAAAAATTGGGCTAATAACATAATGAAGATCTCCAATAACAGGTGTTTCTCTCCCAGTTTTAAATCACTTTCTAATGTACAGATTTTAAATCTTGGCATATTCTACATAATCCTTTCAGTAAATTCTGAAAAAAGGTTTCACTGTTAAAATTTTGATACCAGTTTAAAAAAACCTCCCCAAACAAATAAACAACAACAAAAAAAACCCAACAAAAACCTGCTAGGTGTGGTGGTGCACACCTGTAATCCTAGCACTTAGGATGCTGAGGCAGGAAGATCACTGTGAATTTGAGGCCAACCTGGGCTTGTTCAAGGCCAGCCTGCATGACATAATGAGATCTTGTCTTAAAAAACAGCAAAAAACAAAACCTGAAAAAAAAAACCTGTACTATTATAACTACATGTAGTTTTCAAAAAGAAATATGATCACCTCATGTGTACAATGTTTTATTAATTCAAATTGTATAACATTTCATGCAACCCTTATACCTTAGTTACTACTTACGATGTTTTATAAACTTAGCTCACTTGTAAAATGCCACAAAGAGTAGTAAGTAGGGTGTGGGAAGAGAGAACTTAGATGAGGATTAAGACATGAGGTGATTAGACTAGGAGAATATGCTAAAATAAGTACAATGCTCTTTCAATTAGTGTCTTGAAAACTCAGAAAGTGGCAAAAGTGTCTTAATAAAGTGGCTTCTAAACTAGAAGGGAAACTCTTGAAGCACGTGTGCTTTCCTGCAGGTGCGAATGACCAGCTGAGAAGACATGTGTCTAAGCAGTGGCCCTGTGTATGCCCCGGCCTTGAGGTGAAGGGAGAGGAGGAAAGCAGAGCACCTGCCTGCAGGGATGTGCTGAGGCCCTGGCCTCTTCGCTGTTCCAAGTATTGGAAATCGGTACTTACCAAATCCTCACAGCGAAACAGGAGCGGGTTTCGAGCATCTACTATCTGGACCACAATATCACTGAAACACAAGCGAGATCATCCATCCAGTCTCCAAGGAGGGAAAGGGCACTGCCATGTACAGAAGGCAGAGCAGCAAACCCTCCCAGGTATCAAGCACCCACTGTACATCCACCCCTTCAGGCACAGGTGTTCTCTGTCTGTATGTGTGCAAACTGACCCTTACAGCAGTTATGTGACTGCACATGTCAGCTAAGAGTGATGGAGTCCAAAAAGGAATCCTGGCCTCCTAGATAGAGGTCCTGCTCTGCTGCTTGAATGCTACCTCGAGCAGCTCACGTGGTGTTCAATGCTAAACTGCCACTGGGACTTCCATGCCCTCCTGGACGGACGAAAGAGTACTGAAACCCTGTACTCTTAGGTGATGTCTACTGAAGATCCAGCTGCTCATCTGCACTTTTGTTCTGGCCTCCAAGAACAGTAATAAAGCTCCTGCTGCCAGCTGCCACCAAGAAGCCAATATCTCATTTGAACTCAGGACTGCCAGAGAAGACAGCTCACAGCTAGCCAACAATCACCCAATGGTTCCAAGAATGTATTTCATGGCAAAAATATAAAACCACCCACTACCAGCTCCAGCTGGCACACTGAAGCAGGAGTGAGTCCAACTTCTCCCATGGCATGAAGAGGTGACGATGGGAAAGCCCGGAGCTGACAGCCTGCCCCCGGCCTTCCTCACCCGCAGTACAGCATTCTTCTCCTTCACTTCAGTGGGACGCTCCTCCCTCCCTGCAGCCTCTGCAGCTGAGGAGACGCAATGAGGCCCACCGTGACCACTGCTGGACACACTCTGCAGAGTTGTCACCACCTCACAGCAGGCTTCTCAAATTCTAGGCTGGCCGGCAGCCTTTTCTCAGGTAACTCTGCAACTCTACTAGACACCAAGGGAGCAACACTGCCATTAAGGGGGCTTCTGACTACTTCAAGTGCATTTGCTTTCAGAAGAGTTAAACTCCTAGCACCATCTTGGGATTCAGAGAACTCAGACCTGGGAATTTCTGACAAATTGCTATTTTTTCTAATTACACTGGTCCCACTATTTCCTCCTTTAAGATATTATCTTGAAGGCTGGGCATGGTGGGGCACGCCTGTAATCCCAGCACTTGGGAGGCTGAGGTACAAGAATCACTGTGAGTTCAAGACCCAAGTTCAAGCTGCAAAGTGAGCTCAAGACCAACCTGAACTGATAGCAAGACCCTGCTTCAAAGACAAAAAAAAAAAAAAAAAAAAAAAACTATCTCAGTTTCAAATTGAATTAATGTGGATGATGAGCTAAAATCACAAGGCCCACAAACATGCAAAAGGGATAAACAACTTCAAAACACCAGCTAGAAAGGAAGGGGTGTCAGGCTGGCTTACTCTGTGCTGGACCCAGGTGCAAAGCACCAGAGGTGGGGCAGGAAGCACTCCTGGCCCAGTGCAAGTGGCTTATCTCACTGGAATACAGTGTTCTGCCCTCAGAGCCGGCAGTTTCCTGCATCCTGCCGCGTGTGCACAGCAAACACTGAGAGCTACTACTAGAATTAATGCGGCAGATGGCCCAGCCAGCCTGTGAGCAAACAGGAGACATCTGTGACAGAGAAGACAGCAGTAAATATTTCCTATTAAAGATGCGGCAGTTGTCACACTTATGAATAACATTTCTGTGTAATGCAGAACTGCAGTCCTTGAGGTGGACCTATTCCGTCACAGGGTGGGGCAGGTATCACCGAATAAACGTAACAGCAAGGGACAGTACAGTCCACTTGAGACTACAAGTGGCAATGGAGCAGCTCCCTGGGGAAAGAGCTGCTGAGCGAGGGGCGCCCAGTGCAAGCACCTTCCTGTTCAACACAAAGACCAAACTCACACAGCTCTCTTGGCTCCCTCTTGGGACCCACAAAAGAGAAAGGAAAGGATGAAACTCTTCAGAACAGAGAAAAAGAAAGAAGAGCAGCAACCAAGGAAGGAAAGACCTGGAGACACAAGCCTGCCTGTGTCTCAGAGTCCAGGAAGGTGTCTCTCAAAGCAAGGGCAAAATGTGGTCAGAGCCTGCCTGGTCCCTGGGTCCCTGGTCCCATGGCCACACTGGGCATTTCTTTTACCCAGCAACTACAACTCTGCACAGCCCCTTCCTCTACCCCAACAGCAGAGGGCAGTGTTTGCTAGAGAAGAAAGGGACTGGCCAGGCTCCAGAACTGGGGCTCTGGCCTAGAAGAGGTTGCGCAGGAGATTAAAGGCAGGCTACAATGCCTGCCCAGACCCCTTACACCATCCCACTTGGCTCCTTCCCAGGAGACCATTCTTTGTTTTAAGGAAAAGACCACTGCACACTGAGACCCCTCAGTTTTGGCTTGAAATCCACTTTTTCTGCAAAGAGAATAGCTATCCCTGCTCTTTTTCCAGGTTCTAGTCACAAGGAGTATTGTTTTCCATTCTTTTGACTTTCAGTCTATGAATTTCTTTTTGAAATAACTGTGTTTCTTGTATGTAGCATATTGTTGGATCCTGCTTCTTGGTCCATTCTACCAGTCTGTTTCTTTTGGTTTTTGGTTCTTGGTTTTTTTTGTTTATTTTTTTTCTGGAACCGGGAATTGAACTCACGACATTGTGCTTGCCAGGCAGGCGCTCTGCCACTGTGCTAAAAAGCCCCAGCCCCTGTTTCTTTTGATTATTGAATTGAGGCACAATTAATGCTGATGGTTATACTTCACATGCTCTGATTTAGCCTTGTCATGTTATTTTCATGTTGTTGGCTCTGTTTTTCCCCCTCTGTTTACTTGTTTGCCTTGCCTAGTGGACTCATTCTCTTCAGAGGTTCATGGAGTTGTAATCCTTATTATCTCTTTCGAGAATGTCCTTCAGAACATTTTGCAGTGCTGTTTTAGTGTTCATGAATTTCCTCAGGTGTTCTTTGTCATGGAAGTAACTTATTTCTCCATCAATTTTTTGGTTGTGGTTAATTTTTTTGAGATAAGGTCTCATTGTGTAGTTCAGGCTGGGGCCTTGACCCAGAAGAATGTGGGCAGGGGATTAAACTATGTAAGTAAGGCTGGTCTCAAACTCATGATGATCCTCCTACCTCAGCCTCCTGAGTTCTGAGATTACAGGTGTGCACCACCATACCTGGCATCTCTATCAATTTTGAAAGACAGTTTTGTGGGGTACATCAATCTGGGTTGGAGGTTGTTTTGTTTTAGGGTTTGAAATACTTCACTCCAAGCTCTTCTTGACTTGAGGGTTGTGTTAAGAAGCCTGCTATGATTCTGATGGGCTTTCCTTTACAAGTGATTTGCTTCTTTTCTGTAACAGCTTTTAATATTTTGTTTTTCTGTTGAGTTTCAGGAATCTTGACTATTATATACCTTGCTATAGATTTTTTTTTTTTTTGATCACAGCTAATGGGAGTTCTACATGCCTCACTTATTTATATGTAAAATTCTTTTTCCCTGCCAGGGAAGTTTTCTGCTAGGATGTCTGTGAATAAGTTTTTTTCTGTCATTTGTGCTATCTGCTGCTTTTTCACTGACTCCAATCAATCTTATGTTATTCTTCTCTACATCATTAGCAGCTGCTGGATTGAGCTGATTTTTTTTTTTTTTTGATTGAGTTTTTGTGATCCCTAGCTATTTTTAAAAAAACTTTCTTTTCATGATCATTAACTACAAACCTATCTTCTGTATGAGATCTTGTCCTCACATTGGTTTATTCTGTTGTGGATACTTTCAAAGGAATTTTTAATCTCTGAGATATCTGTTTGGATCTGTTATGGATTCCATTTCTTTGCTATGTTGGGCATTCATGGTTTTCATCATTTTCCTAAGCTCCTCTATTTCTTTTTTTTTATGTGTATCTGCTTTAGAGTCACTAAGCATGTTTTTTTCATTGTCGTCACCATCTCTGAAGTTATCTGAGAAATTATTTCTGATTTGATTTTTTCTAGAGCCTTGTTCATTTGCTTTGTTGTCACCACTTCAGAGCACAGGTGGGTGAATTTCAGACTGTCGTACCTCAACACCCTCTAGATTTGCCTTCGGTGAACTTGATGTCTGGGGCTGGATCCAGACATCCATGAGAATGTCTTTTCATTTTCTTTTTTCTTTAGTTTAATTCCTGGGTTGATGCTTATAAATTGCCTATGGTGGTCAGTTTTATTGCTAGTATTTAGAACTCTTAGGAAATGATTACTTCTCAGAGGTATCTTCAGGTATAGCTGGCTTTTGGATTTTCAGTCTGTTGAAAGATCCAACCTCTTGAATTTATTGGGGGGTGACAAACTGCTGCCTACTTGATCCAGCCCCTGGTTTCTGGCATTGGCCCACAGTATTTTCTATGATCCTTAGGTAATCTCAGTCTTGGTATACCAGGAGGAACAGCTGGTTAGAATAATTATATCACTTTGGCTAAAGTGGTACAATCAGCAGTAACAACAGCATCAAACACAGCCTAGAAAATGACAAACTGAGGTAACCATTAATTTACCACCTTAAACCTATGAAGTAGATTTGTGGTTATATAACAAAATGTAAAAACAAGCCAGACAACTGTATGCAGTAAATAAGCCCTCAATATGCCAATTCTACCCTCAGAGGAGACAATTTAAAAGGGGTTAGGAAAAAATAAATAAATAAATAAATAAATAAAAGGGGTTAGGGAGCCGGGTGTGGTCGCGCACACCTGTAATCCCAGCACTCGGGAGGCTGAGGCAGGAGGATCGTTGTGAGTTGAGAGACCAGCCTGGGCTACAAAGTGAGCTCAAGGTCAGCCTGAACTGCATAGTGAGAGCCTGTCTCAAAAAGAGAAATAAAAATAAAAAAAATAAAAGGGGTTAGGGTTTAAATAGGGAAATACAGAAGTGTAAGAGATTAGAAGCAAGGCTAGAGGACAAAATTTGGGAAACTGGTGCAGAAGACAGGATGGAAAGAGAGAAGGAAGAAACAAAAGGGAGAACAACAACAACCACAAAAAAGAGAAACTATGTTCACCTTCATTTAAAACAAGATCAAACAATGAAGAAACAAAAGAGAAAAAAGATGTGCACTTTAATGTTTGTCTCTGCTCACTGGTATACAATGTGTGGACCCAGAGTCAAGATCTGTCTGTACCCTATTTTATTTTGTACCAGGGATTGAACTCAGGACCTTACACTTGCTAGGCAGGCACCTGTGCCGCTGAGCTATATCCCTGGCTTGTCTATCTCCTATAGTGTTCATGCTGTCCACTGGCAAGAATCTACCTCTTTCCATGCCTCTATTTCCTATTATCACTGGAAACTCAATACATCTTTGCAGAAATAACTACAGAATTCACCTTATAGAAAACACTTACAATTCTCATATACTTGTCAATACACTCATCTAGTGAGAAAACTCACTTTTAAAAATTCTCAATAATCTTTTGTGTATTTTAATCCTCATCCTCTTAGATCTACAGCCCATGAGCATATATCAACATCCAAATCTAATACCACTACCACAGACTTTTCATTACACAAAAGAAAATGGTGCTAGGCATTGTGGTGTATGTCTGTAATTCCAACACTAAGAGGAGGCCGAGGCAGGAGGATCACCTTGATTTTGAGGCCAGCCTGGGCTACACAATAAGTTCAAGGTGAGCCTGGACTACATATTGAGACCCTGTCTCACAAACAAAAAACCAAAAAGCAGGAAAATGGTTACTCACCTTCTCTCAATGACCCTCCAGAACTGGCGCCAAAAGTCTAAATTTCGTTCAAATGGAGTCAATATCAACTTTTCTTCCTCTTCTAGCCTGGCTTTAGAATGAGAAGTTTGTATCTCTGCCAGATTATAATAGATAATTTTAAGCAGTACCAATACCCAAATTATTACATTAAAAAGTAAGTATGCAAGTACTGTCAAATTATATACTGCCTGCTAAGTCAATACAAAAATCAGTTATTCATACCACACCCCACCATGGTCACATTTTATCCTTAGCTGTCTCCTTCCAACTTCAGTCCAGAAGCTGGTATCTCATACAAAATCACACACCTCTCACACAACTCCTGCTGGAAGAATGGCAGGTGCCCAGTAGTCACAGAGGGAATGAGGAAGGAATGAACAGAATAAGCAGCTTGCCATCCTTGCAACGAAGACACACATGCCAGTGATGTCCTATCTGTGTGTGCACCTGCAAGCAGAACATGACCATTCCCCTCTTGGAGCACTTAAGACTTCCAGGGCAGACGGCAATGCAAGCGGCCAAGGTCCCAACTCAGGGCTCAAGGTGAACTTTCAGAGTTGGACACTCACCGGACGAGCTGGCGTCTCCATTTTAGGAAGTTATCTTTCTCTGCCTGTTTGAGCTCTTCTGGGCTAGTTTTTTTGTCCCAGACTGGTCTGAAATAATCACAGGGGAAAAAATTCCATGTATAAGTTACCAAAATAAAATATGGAATTTGGGATATGACAATGGCAGCTGAGAAAACGAAGCAGTTCAGTTCACCTCCTGGGTATGCTCAAGAACTGTCTGTTTTCTTCATGAAGCTTCTGAATTCTCTGGCTCTCCTCAAAAGACAGCAGTCCAGTTCTGGCCTCAGGGAGCACAAACTTAATATTTAGCTTCTCTGTTTACAGAAAAGAAAAAATACTATTACTTAAGAGGCAATATAAAATACAGAATGTTGGTCATCTTTATAAACTTGGAAAACTAACAACACAAGAGACTACAATAGAACTTAAGGCTTCATTTAGATCCCTCTAGAGCTTGAGAAATTATAGTTTCCAAATGAAATTTTCTACAAAGGGAGAGAAATTCAGAAATCTTCATTAAAATTTTCAAAAATTCACCATTTCTTGAAGTATTGATTTTATTAACCTTCCTATGGTAAATGCATTCCATGGAAGCAGTGGGGTTTAGCACAACCTATCTTCTCATTTTACATATGAAGAATAATTTTAAACCAGTGGGAATTGGTGAGGAGGAAAGATTTAGTGAACAGACTTGTTCCAGTTTGAACTAGAGAAGGGTGAGGCAGGAGACTGCAAGTTTGAACCCAGCCTGGCAACTCAGTAACTTAGTGAGACCTTGTGTCAAAATAAAAATAAAAAGAAGGTTCCCGGTACCGGAGAAAAACCAAAAAATAAAAAAAAAATAAAAAAAAAAAAATAAAAAGAAAATGAAAAAGAAGAGAGAAACAGAAGTGAAGTGTGTGCATGAACTAGACAGACCTCTGCTCTAGGCTTTACCCCAGCTGCTCTGGGTCTTCCCTATTTTATGATGCACAGCCACACCACAGCCCCGGGCACAGTGGGGCTCCGCTGGGAAAGCACTGGAGAAGCCGCTGAGGATCCTGAATGCTGCCTACAGAGCTAATGTCTTGGCACTGTGCCTCTTCCCTTTGAGGTGTAAGACCACAACCTGTGACCTCATCAGCCACAATGCCCAGGAACCCACTGCCCATAATCTGGGTCACTGTCAACCCAGCCACACTTCTCACCCATGCTGTCCTCAACAACAGCACCTCCCGTATTTGCTCTTCCTTCCAGTGGTGACCCTCCACCTGCCCCTCCCATGGCTCCGCCCACTTCCGTGAACACTTGGCCCCTTGACCTCAGGCCCCAGGCCCTTGTCCACCCTGTGGCTTCTCTTTTCTCCCTGTTCAGCTGAAACTGCATGGACATCCCTTCAACCACTCTTGAATCAAACCATCTAACTCCTCACTCACTACTCCACACCCCAAACCCCAACTACCCATCTCTTCTCATGCCCCCAGTAGCTGTGGGCCATGCTGCAGGACAGGACACGACAACACACTTCGCCACTGTGAATGCAGAGGCCCTTGGCACTGCCCATGGGAGGACATGTGCCTTCCCCGTTTTGGGCTCTCCCTGTGTCCTGCAGGGCTGCATTCTTGGGCAGCCCCATCCTTTCCAAAGAGCACCCTGCCCCATCTCCTGTGGCGTGAGCAGGGTCCCGGGGCAACAGGCTCTCAGCTCTTAGTTATGCAACCATGACTAGGATGCGGTTTATATTTTCATCACTCTAGAGAGAAACTTTTATCCATCAGCAGCTCCTTTCTACTCCCCTAGCTTGAGTTCAAGCTATTGGATCTAATAAGCTGACTATGGACTCTTCCTACAAACGGATCCTTTGTGTGGCTTTTTTTTGGTACGGGAATGAAACTCAGGACCTTGTGCTTGCCAGGCAGCCGCTGTGCTGGTGAGCTATATCCCCAGCCCCCTTAGTGTTTTCTTATGTCTGGTTTCTTTCACTGAACATGTTTTTTAATTTTTTTTATTTTTCATTTTTTATTTTTTGGTTTTGTTCTGGTACCAGGAATCGAACTTACAACCTCATGCTTGCCAGGCAGGCACTGTGCTGCTGAGCTAAATCCCCAGCCTCAACTGAACATGTTTTCAAGGCTCATACATGTTGTAGCATACATCAGAACTTTCTTCCTTTTAATGGCCAAATAATATCCCATCTTATAGATGTACCCCTTCGTGTTTACTGCAAATAATGTGGCTATGAATATTCACATACAGGTCTTTGAGGGGACCTGTTTTCATCAACTGCAGTGTACATGGGACTAGAACTGCTGGGTATTTGCAAGTCCACGTCTAGCCTTCCGAGGAACTCCAAATCCAAACGCCTTTGGAAGCCACTGCTCAAAATGTCTGAGTTCCAATTTCTCTACAACCTCACCAACCTCCATTTAGGCTTTTCCCTCAGGTGGAAAGGGCTCTTCTCTGAAGCCCAGGGGCTCCTTCTGGACTCTCTCCCTACTCTTCTCCCTACTCTTCTCCCTACTCTCCTCCACCGCCTCAAGTCTGGTTTATTCCAGATCCCTCGCTCTCCTTCCCACACTTTCTCCATTTTTCTGCTACTTCTACTGCGATTGGGACTTGCCTTTCTTGGTGATGAACAAGTCTCTTCATTTACCTTTCTTCCTTTCACTTATCAATGATTTTTTAGAAGAAGAAATTTGGTACAGCTACTATAAGAACAGTCTGGAGGGCTCTCAAAATGTTAAGAACAGAATGATGATATGAAAAGCAACTCTACTTCCGGGTAATATGCAAAAGAAGTAAGACTGAAATCAGTATCTTGAAGAGATACTCACAATAGCCAAAATAGGGGATGAGCCTGTACTATCCATGGATGAGTAAAGAAAATGTGATATTCAGCCAGGCTAATCCCAGCACTCAGGAGGCTGAGGCAGGAGGATCATTTTGAGTTCAAGGACAGTTTGAACTATGTAGCAAGACCTGGCTTAAAAAAAAAAAAGTCACTTAGGCATGAACTTTAGTTCAAGAGGATGTATGAAGGTTATATGCAAATATTTTGCCATTTTAGATACGAAAGCTGAGCTTCTGCAGATTTTGGGATTCACGGGGGTGCTTTGGGACCAAGCCCCACAGATATGGAGGGACAGCTGTGTATGTACACAAAATGATATTAAAGGAGAAGAAAACCTTGACCGTGTGACCACCTGGGCAAACGAGAGGGCATTCTGCTGAGTGAAACAAGCCAGCACAGAAAGATACAGTGCATGGTCTTATAAATATGTGGGACATGCAAAGCTCAGCTCATAGAAGCAGAGAGAGAATGGTGGTTATCAAAAGTATAGATGGAGGCAGCAGGAGGATGCTGGTCAACTGTCTGAAGATTCAACCAGGTAGGGTAAGTTCTGGAGATCTAAGGGATGGCTGCTATAATTACAATCACTGGATTGAATACTAAGAGTCTGTTAAGAGAGCAGGTGTTTTGTGCAGGGCTAGGTATGAAACTCAGGGCTAGGCAAGCACTCTACCAGTACATCCTCAGTCTTAGAAGAGGAGACACTGGGCCGGGGATATAGCTCATCAGCACAATGCTTGCCTGGCAAGCCTAAGGTTGTTAAGTTCAATTCCTGCTACCAAAAAAAAAAAAAAATTACTTTAAAAAAAAAAAAAAAAAACAAGAGGAGACATTAAATACCTCACCACACACACGCAACACTGAATGAGGTGATGGATCTGTTAATTAGCTTGATCGTGGTGATCCTTTCACAACACATACATATAACAAAACATCATGCATACACTACAACTATAGAAAGCTAGAGGTGAGGATAAACAAAACACCCAGTAGAAAGTGAAATCTCAAACTATGGTGTTAGCTTACTTAAAGGCCCTGCACTCTCTCCCTTAGACTTTATTCTCCTTCGGATCGATCCCAGGCCCCTCCTCAGTGTGTGTTTATCACAGCTGGTCTGCTGACACCAACAATGCCCAACATCTCACACTGCTGCTTCACACCTGGCCGAAGTGCTCTGCAGTGGCCTGTGTATTTCTCTTCTCCTATCAGCTCCTCATGGAGCTCTCAGCTTCAGACCTCGGGGTGTAGCTCAGCAGCGGTGCTTGCCCAGCATGCAGGGGGCTCTGGGTTCCATTGCCAGCACTGAAATCAAAGACTCAGCCCCAGGGAAGGCTTTCTGGGCCTGACTTCCATCTTCTTTCAGATGGAAAGGGTTCCTGACCCCATCTTTCATGACCAATTGTCTTCAAAAGACCTCACAGCAAAATCTGTAGAAAAGACCTTATAATTTTTTTCTTTTCTGTTTTTTGAGATAGTGTCTCTTCATATGTAGTACAGGCTGGCCTTGAACTCACTTATGTAGCTAAGGCTCGCCTCAAACTCACAGTGATCCTCTTGCCTCAACCTCCCAAGGGCTGGGATTATAGACATGTGCCACCACGCCCAATAGCTTACAATTAAACATGATACTATTACAGTGGCTAGTATGATGGCTGAGAGTAGCTGGTGTTCATAAAAGTATTTTGGAAAAAATCAGTAAATGATTTGCTAAACATAACATTTATAATAAAGGAGTAGAAATAATAGTTTATAATACCATCCCTGACAGGTTATTTTTCTAAGAGATTAGGCCACATTAAAAAAAAAAAAAAAGGAAAGCAGTGACTAACATTATATGCACAGAAGAATTTGTGATGCTGATTGGTGCTTTAAAAATATAGTCACAGCTGGGCATGGTGGTGAATGCTTGTAATTCCAGCACTAGGGAGGATGAGGCAGGAAAATCACTGTAAATTCCGAGGCCAGCCTGAGCTACACAGCAAGAACATGTCTCAAAACAACAAAATATATAGATACAGATAAAGACAAATTCAAATTTCCTAACAAAGGCAAAGATAGAACCTTGCTTTTAATAATGAAGCAATAATAAAGACTCTCTAGAAAATACTGGTATTGTATTTCTTGACCTGGAGAGGAAGAAGTAAAACTTAAAGCGTTCCCTACAGCTGACTAAAAACCTACGGCACGTGTGGCACCTCACAGCTTACACTCTCCTGGACTTTCCCACACTGCTCTTGGGCAACCTGCCTTTGAGGCACGGAGAGCCTGTCCGTGCCCTTGGCAGGGTCCTCAAACACTTCCCAGTATCTACACCTTGGCAGCACGAGGTGACGGGAGCAGTGCCACACACCAGCATCAAGCGACTCACCAGCCACGAACTCTGTTCCTGCAAGCTCTGCAGTTGCGAGAAAGTCATCGAGGGAGCTCTGCTCAGTCACTGACTGAAGATTGAGACGGCCCCAGTCATAGCCGTCACTGAGGTCACTTGTGTGCAACTATGAATGAAAAGCACAAAAGGAAAGCTGCTATCTTCGTCCTGATGCCCAAGAGGCTCTGACCTCCTCCGCAAACTATCCTGTGGTCTTGAGGGTGGTTTAGCCTCTTCACAATCTCATACTAACAGTTAGCATTTCAGTGAGCACTTCCACACTTCGGGAGAGACACTTCCCCTCCACCATTTAGTTTCCAAAAGTAGTTCATTTTCTTGTATCTCCATTTACTGATTAGGAAGCGGACTTCAATAGGTACAATAACTTGTCCAGAGTTGCAACGAAGTGACAGTCATAGAACTTCAACCAGCTTGACCTTCCCAGCCAGTTAAGTCAAAATTCTTTGCACAGAGCTCACAATAAGAAACATATTTTATATAAGTGACTCAAAAGTGCATGATAATGCTGGGGGTATAGCTCAGCGGCATAAGTGCTTGCCTGGCAAACCTGAGGTCATGAGTTCGATTCCCAGTCCCCCCCAAAAAAGCAAAAAAAACAAAAACAAACAAAAAAAAGAGTGATCCCAGTGGGTAAGTACCAGTCATTATAGTAAAATGGAAACAAAAGAATCTTGAGATGAGTTACCTTAGTGCATATAACACCCTAGAATCTTCTTACTAGAGTAAAAAATAGTTGCAACTAACTAAACTGATTCACAACACAACCTAGAGTTTGACAAACACCATTCTAAATTATACACTTAGTACAGATACAAAGAAATTTTTTGAAAAATTTAAGGGCCAAAAGCTTAGGTGGTCTGTCGAGTCACAGATTCAGCAAAAGTCAGAGTAAGAATCTTTAGAATTCACATTCAATTTCCCCACTATTTTTCAAAGGCTACATTAACAGCAAGTTGCTTCAAAATCACTGAAAATTAATAGGAAGCTAACATCCAGAATAATTTAGATCCGATGAGCACTGCTAAGCACTGTGGGCTGCTCACACTGCAGACTACGCCTAGGGCTGTGTGACAGCGGCCCGTGAAGTGTCAAGTGAGCACCAGGGACCTGAAGAACTTTAGCACATCTTAGAAACTCAGAATGTTCTCAAATACTGCGGGGAATAAACGGTAAAAACGAAGACTGGAGTGTTGTTAAACACAAGTCAAACCATTCACTTTTTCAGGGTCCCACTCTGATCCTCCTGAGGCTGTAAGAGGTCTTGCCACATCTGGTAAACGAACGATTCGTCTTCTAGCTAAACTGCTTATGAGGAAAAGACCAAAGGGAAGCGGGAACCTGAGTTAGTTTGTACTTCTGGTGCCAACCAAAAATTTCTGGAGGATCAGCTGTTGGAACAAATCATTCTCTTTTCCTGAGACCAGATCTCGCTATGTGGTGGAGGCAGACCTTGAACTCACGATCCTCCTGCCAGTCTCCGGAGTGCTCTAATCACAGGCG